TACCGTAGGTGGACGAATTATTCAAACCCTTGCAGAATTCACCCCCTTACCCCCATAGTTCAATGTTGGCCTGTTGGTGAAGGAGGTTGGCTTGAGTGGACGAATCAAATCAAACCCCTGACAACAAAACATCTTTTTACTGAGACAACGTTGAAACCGGAGGTGCGGGGGTGGTGATGGACCATGGTGGTTTAGGGTTTGATAAATTTGTCCATCTACTGTAGTAAGGCACTTGTTCTAGAAACGCGTCTACTCTACTAATCACCAGGCGCAAGGTGTGAGAAACGCCTGCTTCCGAATCCTTGCCGGAGAAACCACTGAACAAGGGACACGAAGATGTGACACTTACGTGAGGATGTCATGGGGCACAAAGCAAGTGGTCGACACGGGATTCCGCGTCTCCTTTTGGCACCAGACTTTTTTGCGCTCGGCAAAACCGCGAACCTATGTCCACGCATGTCCAACAACATGCAGGCTGCAAACCCCTCACCATCTTGCCTCAAGGCACTGTACAGGGCAAAGGGCGGGGTAAGTTGTCAGGAACCACAGAAAATGCCAAAGACTTCCCAAATCAACCAAAACATCCTCACCGAAAACGGGATTAAGAACCTGTTCAAGCGACACGGGAGCTGCAGAAAGTGGTTGCACAGCGCTGGCTGCATGGCTGACAAATCTTCATCACTGGTCTCTTCTTTTGGTCTTGTTTCCAAGTTTGGGGAATTCACGTCCTTGCTGAATACAACCACCCAATGAGTGACCTCAAAATCAGGTCTCTTGGCAATCAGCTGGATAGATATACAAACCTGTGAGCTTAATTCACATGGAAATCTCTTCCTTTCTATGGCTCCCAATTGCCGCCTAGTTTTTGCACCACTTCGCCACGGTCACCACCGGCCGTCGCAGTGCGGCTGCGCGTTTCGGCGCTCTTTCCGTGGGTCCGTGGGTCAAGAAAACATGGGCTCCTTCAAATTGGAGGACACATTGCTCCCATGGTTGGAGAAAGTTTGAAGACACACTGCACTTGAAGGAAGATGTGAAACATAACACCACATTCAAATATGATGCATGATGATACCTTAAATAAAAATAAAATGGAGCATCAAGTTATGTAAGTAACTACCTGTAGAGTGATCCGAAAGGTGGCTTTCGGCTTTCTTCCATCAATCGAGAGTACAGCCTTTCTGAGATCTGAGGATCTGAGTTGCCAGATACCCAGCCTGGTTGCCATTCATTTCTTGGCAACCACATATCGTTCCAGCAGCAGCAGCTTTTCCTGAGTGCTGGACGATCCGTCTCATCAGTGGCTTTCTTGAAAAGCGACCCTTCGGGTGATGCACTCGACTCTACAACTGAGTGGGCCGAAACATCCACGAGTCTTTCCACGAGTCTTTTCCCGAAAAGCTAAGCACTTGGCGAAGCCGATGGAACTCTCTCCTTCCTCCAGTCCCCGAACTCTCCAAGTCTCCGATGGAACTTGTCGCTCTGGCGGAAACCACTTCCTGAGCTGACTGTCAACTGCCCGCAAGAACGGTGTGTACCCGGCCAAGTACGGTCCACCGTTTGGAGAATGTCCGTGCGGGTGGTAGGATGATGACTGAGACCTGAGCCGTTCCGATCAAACGCATCTTTCAGAATCTTAGAAAGCAAAGAACCTTCACGCCAACCAAGACGAAAAGATCCTTGCCATTCACCACCCCAGAAGGAATGAGAATCTGAAACAGTTAGTCATTGAGAATCTGCCACATGACCAATACCGAACCGGGTTGAGACTCAAATATTGTACCGTGGATGATAAAAACCATGTGCGGTTTGGGAGTCACACCTCGATTAAGTCTAACTACTGCCCAAAACATGTGCTATCACCCTATCAAATCCCTCCATTGGCATCGATCTTGGAGTCTTTGCAGTAAAGCGCATGGCTATGTGCCCTCTGGCACCGACCATTTGACCCAGCTTCTTGCTGATGTCTTCCGTGGAGATGTCGGACACCAGCCTGGCTTCTCAGGAGTCAGACAATTCTCGCACAATGCCATAAAGAACTGCAACCTGAGTTTAGACTTAGACCAAGCTGCCGGAAGTTCGAGCAGGAACAGAAGACCTGGGGGATCTCGCTTTGTGCATAGAAGTTGATCCAGGGCTCACCTGACCAGGGGCAACATGACAGCCACTTCCCAGCCCAAGACCCACTGCAAGTCGTTGTAAGTGATGTTTTTACAGGGTCCGAAAGACCCGTCCTGGACCACATCGCCCCTTCAGCAAGCATCAAGATTGAAGAGTCGGGTGTGGTTAGTTGGAGTTATAAAAGGTGTTCAATTATACAAGCATAGACTTATGTTGACTTACAGCCAAGTTCTAAGAATCATTGAAAAAGAAAAAGTGCAGAAAAAAAAAAGCAAAAAAATAGCAAAACCAAAAAGCAGAAAGAAAAACTGTCTGGATAAGAAGTGCAGAAACAAAGCAGAAAAAAAAGCAAACAAAAGTGCAAAAAAAAGCAAACAAAAAAGGAAAAAAAAGCAAACAAAAAAGGGAAAAAAAATAGCAAACAAAAAAAAACAAACAAAAAAGCAATTTTTCACCCACTTTTCCCCACTTTTTTTGTGGCTCTGGAATTTGTTCTCCCACTTTTTCCCCACTTTTTTTGTGGCTCTGGAAATGTCAAAACTTTGCACTTTCCTCGAAAAATAGCAAAAAAAGTGCAAAAAAGTGAAAAAAAAGTGCCAAAAAAATTGCAAAAAAAAGCGTGCCCAATTTGCCTCAAAAAAAAATTGCTCTTTTGCTTTTTTGTTTGCTTTGTTGTTGCTTTTTTTTGCTCTTTTTTTGCTTTTCTTGAACGTTGCTATTTTGTGTTTGCTTTTCATGCACGCACTTTTTCTGCACTTTTTTTGTACTTTTTTGTTTTCCATACTCCCATAGAAGTTGGCTAACTGGCCAACATAAGCATAGACCCCAAACAGGTTATATAGTCGGTAAGAATTGTTGTTCCCTCCCTCGCACAGCAGCGTAAAGAGCACGACAGCAGGAGGATATGAGGACAACAGAGGACAAAATAAAGATGAAGGACAAGAGGAGGACACAGGGCTGGCCAGCACGGCCAGAGGACACGACAAGAGGAGGACACGGTTGGCCATCGTGGCCAGAGAACAGCAGTTCAAGAAGAGGACAAGACCCGGACACAAAGCCTGGACACAGAGTTCAGGGGCACGGCCAGCCAGTGTGGCCAGCCCTTTTTTGCTAAGAGAGAACCCCAACAGTAAACTGTTTGGGGAAAAGTAAGGAAACATGCAACACCAAGAAAAATGCTTTTTCTCTCTGCAGTGCTTGCTCAAACCCTTAGAATCCCATAAACAAATATTTGCCCTGTCTTTCCATGCCTCGATAATCTAAATCAACTATGGAAAACAATCATGCATCGAAAACATTGAAGCCATGTATTGGGGAAATCTAAAACATAGGGTGAAAGAGCGGAAGCGCATAGACATGTCTGCAGGGTTGATCCACCCGCAAATCTCTGGACAGATTGATCAAAGCTGCAGTAAAAGATCCAGTGTGATCAAGCTCAGCACACAATGATTTAGGCAGTGTGGAATCCGCAGAAATGGTTGGAAGCTGTTTTTCATGTCTTTGCTGTGGCAAGTTTCAGGGTGAGTCATCATCAGCAACTGTAGGCTCCCAACGTGTAGTAGTTTCTACTAGGCTGTTCGCTCCAACCCCTCGCCTAATTTGGCTGCATAGGAGATGATCTGCTGTAACTTCTGCGGGTTGGCATAACCAGCTCCCACGACTTTCTCAGGTGTTTGAACCTGCTCGTCCACGTAAGACATGAAGAAGGTGCTCCCTTCTCCGGATATGCTATCCTTGGATGATCAGGTGGGAACACCTCATGCCCAAGGTCGCTCGCCCTCGTCCGTAATGAAAGTTTTTACTAAAACATATATATTTATAACATAAACGAGAGCCCACCACAACGAGGGCCCACCACGGCAAAGCTTCCTCGCACATGGCAATGTGGGAACGCATGGCTGGTCCGCAGTTATGTTGCATGTTGCCATGCTTTTGCATGCGTGGCCTCGCTCAGTCGCAGCATTTACTGGGATGGACAAGCCGGTGCCGAAAGTGTTGGTAGGGTCGCTGATCATGAATCATGGCCCCAAGAGTCATGGTATTTACAAGAGTGGCCCCACCTGTGGCCCAGACAGTCATGGTGTTTACAGGAGTGGCTCCGCGTGTGGTGGCCCCGCTTTGCGTGCCATTTACAGGTGTTGGATTTAATGAATCCTTATTCTGCAACTGGTGGGACCTAACAGCGGGAGCGAAGGAGGAGCAGAGTACACGAGAACAAGGCCAAGTGAAATGCCTATGCCTATGCCGCTGCCACAAACCTCTGGAAGAGAGTCCAAAAGGTAGCCCCAATCTACTCCGCAAGCTTCAAGTGGCTCTGCTGCTATCTGCTCTAGTAGCATGTGCCTACAGCGTAGCCTGACTCCCCCCGTTCACGTGGCTGTGACGCTCACAGCCTGTACCTAACATCAGCAACAAATTCAGTCACGAAGGCAATGTCCGGAATCTACCTTGACTGCCCCACAGCTATCTCCGCCTCGTGGGGCTGCAAAAACCCAGAAGATGCCAAAGAAACATATGATTTGGGGTGGTGAGTGGGACACCTTTGTCCTCAAACCAAACATATCAATCACCCCTCCAGGATCCTCAAGAACGGGACACACCTTGATCCACACCCCTTATAACTCAAGCACTCCAAGCATAGCTGGCCCCGAACGGACTTGT